TTTTGCTTTACCTATTAAACTGTCTTTATCTCAATCCATGAGTTTCCTCACTTTTACTCTTCCGATTCTCTCCCCAGTCCCACTGTGGGGGAGTGAGCGAGCAGCTGCGTGGGGCTTAGTTGCTGGCTGGGGCTAAACCACGACACTCCTGATATGGATAATGCTGTTATATGCCAAGTTTAGGGATTTTGTTGTCAAAAGGGTGTTAGCTAGATAATGTTCATATTCTCCTCTCTGTTTTTACAGTTGGTAAGACTTCTGAGGCTATTTGGTTCATTACTAAATAAGAATTACAAGTTGCTGAATAAGTAGAATTAGAAGAAACATCTCTGGTTTATAGGATTAAAGAGCTTTTAATATTTGAGTGAACCTGAACAGTCTGCTTTCTAAATAAACTTTCTTCCTAGTTCTTATTTCATGGCTAATAAATTACAGTTGCTGTAACAGTTACAGTTGCTTTAACAGCAGCCTGAGAAGCTGTGATGTGTGCATGTGTATAGGGGAAGCTGTTTTCTGAATTTAAAGAGCAGTATCCAGTCTTTCTGAACTTGTGGCAGATGAATTTGCTGGTTGAGGTAAGTTGGCTGTGACCTGCCCCTTAAACTAAGCAAACTTGAGAACTCTCTTGCTTTTCAAACTTCTCCTGGCATGCATGGCTCTGATATTTAATTAGGAACCTTGTTTATAAATTCAACAGATAACTTATTTAACCTGCCTTTAATACTTATAGAAATAATAAGTTTGAATTTTAAGATATGTTTGAAACTGTAGAAAAAAGTTTGAGGCTGAGCATGGGAGTTACTTTCTGCATAACTTAAGATTTCTGTAGTAGCCAGGTATTGCAAACTCGAGAAGTATGAACAGAATTACTCCTGAAGTAGTATAGAGCATCTCCATTTAAACATAATTTAAATTAAACAGAATAACTGAATTGCAGCATTTGCAGACATTTACTTGTGAATGGAATTTATTTTTAAACTTTGTAATATATAATTATTTTTAACAGGATGATGAGTCCTTTAACTTGCACAACAGCAACAGTCCTCATCATGAGAGCGATATAAACCAAAACTTTGGAAATGAAATTGCGCAAGAGAATGGCAATGCTCCAATTACATCTCAACAGATCATTCCATCTTCAACTTTCCCTCGGGCAGATGTTCTTTCAAGCTCACTTGAGGCGGAGCATAGGTATGTGCTTCATTATAATATAAAGAGTGTTCCTTCATGGTAAGTGAGGATGTCTTAAATTCTTACTAGTTCAGAAGTCAAATCTGAAAACTGAGAACACACAAAATGTTTACTGGTACTGTCAAAGTCTAACTTTTAGACATGTACTAATTTAAGATGGAGTATACTTTGTTTTTACTAGACTTGTGTACTGACATCTTAAACTTGCTTTACTAAAAATTTTATGTATTTCATTATAAAGAAATAAAGCAAACTACATAGTGACTTCATCCCTCTGATTTTGGTCTGCATGTCTAGGAAAAACAATGCATGTAATTGCTATTTGTATTAATAATACTTTAAATGCTGAATCTTATGTAAAACTCCAGTGAGTTTTTCCTGTTTGTTTAAGAAATTAATTATTTCTGTAGCTGACTAGTTGATGCTGTCAGTGATATCACAAGACAATGCACTAGAAAGGGAGAAAGTAACTTCAAAAAATGTTTGAAACAATTCTAGCATCTTATAATAGTAACTGCAGTAGCAACTGGTAGAGATTGAGAATGATACTGCTGGGAAATCACAGCTCTGTCTGGAGGTGAGCTTGCCATGAGCTGTTTAAATTCTTACTATTTATGGCAACTACAGAAATATAGTGATAGATTTTTTTTTTCTTTTAGTGATAGATTCTACGTATACATTGAACTAGAGAATTTTTCCTTTTGTAGTACCTGCAGAGGAAACTTTCATGACCTCTTATCCCTCATGAGTATGAAAAGTGAAATGCACCCTGCTCTCTTCCTTTTTTTTTTTTTTTTTCCCCCCACCATTGGTTATGGAGACAGAAATCTTTGGCTGCTAGAGGCTGCTGATGAATGTTTTTGACAAGAAGATAGGAGTAAAATCTAACTCTCATTTGTCAATTCAAATGACTTTGAATGGCCTTCATAGGGTTTCTGGGCAAGCATCTTTCCTTGTGGTATTCCAGAGATGCTGCATCTCCATACTGCACCAGCCCTTTGGCTGAGACCTCTACATGTATGTAAACAGTTATGGTAAGCCTTTTTGTGGTAAATTGGACTTGAGGTAACCACCTTAACTCACAGGATACTTGTGCATACCTAATAACTGTATAGGCACATCTTGTACAAAATATATCTTGGGCTTCCTTTCCGCTGGGGGTTTCCAACATGCAGTGATTATGTACTCATCCTGTTGGTGTCAAGTTTGCTAATCTGAAGCTTATTTTTTTTTATGTAGTTCACACTTTTAACCATTCTAGAAGCCTTATATTGCTTTAAAGGGACAGTGGTCCTGCTAACTTTAGATGATATTGCTTAAAAATTAATTACCTATTGCCCTAAACTTTATTTACATTAACAGGAACTATGTAACTATTCACTTTACATAATACTGTTAACAGCTTGCTTGCAGTAATATTTTATGACTCAAATTACTGTTGCTAAAAATATAACTATCATTGAACTGCTTTTGGCATTGCATAATGGTGAGTCTTTTTCTGTATGTGTATACAAATGCACATATTCTCTTAAAAGAGAGAAGTTTTGGATGACTTGCATATTATTTCTGCTGCTTCCTGAGGATTTCACTGTTCCTGGCTGTCACATTGTCCTGTTTGGTTCAAATACTACAGAATATGTATTTTCCATTTCTGTTATTGTCCCGTAAACTGTTTTTAAATAATCTCGGTAGTGCTGTTCTTTCCCCTCCCCTCAATTCCAGGCTTGTATTATGGTTTTAACAACAGTCATTAGTGTAATTGGTTACCTGCAGTGACACATCCAGTGCATGCCCATTGTATTGGGACCTAGAATTTTTTGTAGGGAGGGTTATGTTGAAGGGCATTTCTTGCTGACATCTAGCTGAATGGAATACCTGGCACATGACATCAACTGTGAGTTCATATAACTTCTCAGTTTTAGTATATTCACTGTTCTTCAGCTCTAAATGTCAGTTTCTTGTGTCAGTTCTGGCATATACTTTAGAAACCTCTTTATTTTTTGGGAAATAGCTTTAACCTCCTTTAATGTTTAGGGTCAACAGGTGTGTGGTTTGCCTGAAGAAGGTGCTAATTCTTTTGGCAAAAACTTTGCAGCAAGATAACTTACTATCTTCATTGTTAAATGTCACAGCGTTTTCACCCTCAGATAACCTGTGTTTTCTCAGCATCTTCATGCCTGAAACCATTTTCTTCCTGTTCAGATACTGCTGTCCCACTTTTGGCACTAGCTAAAACACTTTTATTATTGTATCTTTGTACATCTCAAGCTTAGTCACAAGAGGAATCTGTCTCCATTTCTTTTCCTTCTCTCATCCCAAAACTCACTCCTAGTTATAGTCTGTGCTGGAATATCAGCATCTGCTGTCAGGTAAGACTCATTTGCAAAGAAGCCTGTCCTGGCTCTGACATTAGTATGTGCTACAAAAAAGAAACTATATGAGGCCATTGCATCCTGAATCGTGCTTCTGTCACCGAGGATCAATGCAGCTTCTCCCATGTGTGTTATCTTCATCTTCAAATTTGATGCTGAAGATACTGTGGGTCTGAGGTGAGGAGCCATCTCTGATGTTGGTTCCCATGGATGGACATCACCAGCATAGCAGTTATGCAAAGGAGATACGTTCTTACTTTTCCACCTGACAGAGATTTCTTGTCCTAAAATGAAGCTACAGTTAACTAGATTCTGCTTTCTTCCTGCTTGAATTTTAGGAATATGATGAATATCATAGTGTATCCAGGGTCACTTGATTGTAATAAAATCATTTGCCTTTGATAACTTCTTACACAAATGTCTTGACGATGGAGGTTGCCGCTTAATGGGCTGTAAAGTCCATAGTCCCAACATCAGATAGCTTTTAAGAGAAATCCTATGCATCAACAGCTGAACTTGCATATGATCCAAATTCTTTTCTCTTTTGCTTTCTTTATTGCTGCAATCCTGGAGAGCAGACATCCAATTGAAACAGAATATGAAAAACTGTCAGCTTTTTTTAGGCTGGTAACGAAGATCCTGAAGTGAGATAATATGATGAAATTTGGCTTTTGTGTCCTTATGTTCACTGGATTGGCAGAGAGAGCAGGGTCTATTTTGTATGTGAAACCTGATGGCAGGAAATGTAATACTTGGTATGTGCAAGTGATGGTGTGGATATATGCTTGAAATTAAGAATGTGTTCTATAGATAAAGTATTACTGTTTAATTTTTGCAACCTTTGAAATTAAACATGTAGTGGTAAAACAGGGTCATCTGTGAATGACCTGAGAACTTATCAACTTCTGTGCTTTATATATCTTTTGGAAGGCTTTTAACCTACTTTTATGTAAGAGTTTGTTTAAAAAAATTATGGACTGATTAATACATTTATTACAGATCTTTATGCATCTATGTAGGCAGAGCTTGAAATGTCTGAGTGTGTGTAGCAAATTCCTTAATGTTGTTCTTTTTATTTTAAAGGTTGTTAAAGGAGATGGGCTGGCAGGAAGATAGTGAAAATGATGAAACATGTGCTCCACTAACAGAGGATGAGATGAGGGAATTCCAAGTCATTAGTGAACAGGTAACGCTAAGTTAATGTTCCATTATGAACTTGTAGGTGGCTACCCTAAATGCCTGCCTTTGAGGGGGATCTCTAGTAATTTTGATGGTTAGGGATGCTGCCATTTCAGTACTCACTCTCTCTCCTCTCTATTGCCTCCTTGTGCTTTTGGAAGAATAGTTGCTTTAAAAAGATAGGAGACCAGTGCTTATTGTAGGTAAGGCCTATTCTCAAAATATCAAGGGAAGGGTAGGGGAGTGGTTCTGAGTAGTTTCAGCATTGTTGGTGGTAGAATTGCACAGGCTTTCCGGCTCCTCAGCTTAGCCTGAGGAAAGGGAATTTTCTTTCAAGTTTTTATGCAGTTTCCTTGGCTTTCCAAAATCTGAATTTTCTCTGTTGGAAATTCACTAGTAACAAAGTCTGAAAAGGCAATCTAGACTTGATTTTTTTTTTTTTAATTAGGAGTGTTTTATATACCAGATTTTGGGGGGTAGAAGGGAGAATCTTGCATAATGTTAAATCCTGAACGTTTGATATTTCCATAAGATTTTTACATAAGACCATGTGGGAGGGATCACTGGGGCAAGATGTCTGAGGAAGTGGGTGAGAAGAGGGGTAGGCTCTTGTTCATTGCAGGAGCTTAGTTTAGCACAGTTGGAGGCTCTTGGATGCAGGTGGGCGGCTGGCCCAGAAGTGAAGGCGCTCAGGTAAATTTTCCTTTGTGTGTATATATAAAAGAGGTCATGCAGTGGATCTAATGTATCCCATAGATGATGTAGAGAATGCTGAAATGCAGCAGGTTGTTGTGTTTAGCTTTTTCTTTCTCTGACTACATCTTGTTTTCTCATTTTAGTTACAAAAAAATGGGCTTCGGAAAAATGGCATTTTGAAAAATAGCCTCATCTGTGATTTTAAATTTAGCCCCTGGAAAAACAGCACTTTCAAACCTGCTCTGGAGAATGAGGGTTCTGAGACAAGCAGCAGTGATACATCAGATGATGATGATGTGTGAAGATTTCTCTAACATCTGTAGAAGCTTGTTTTGATCTCATGAAAATTTGGGGATGTATTGTCCAAAAAAAATTTTCTAATTTATGTAGTAACATACCCCATTAGAGGAAGAATGATGGGACTTCTCTCTGAAGAAAGCAAGGAATGTTGTGTTGAACATTACTATAATTTCTTTGCAAAGAAATGTTGTAGAATGAGGACTTGGGTTGACCCACATTGACTTTCTTCTTCACTGCAGCATTTCTGACTAGCAATGTGACAATGTAACAAATCAGACTTTCTCATTTAATAAAGAAATTGTGTAATGTCTTGCAAAGCTTCTGTCTTAATATGTCCAAATCTATTAGGAAAAAAAGAGCAGCTTGACACAGTGTTTTGCTTGCCAAGTCATTTCTTTCTTACAATGGAAATCCTTGAGTCCACTTTGTATGCAAAAAGGGCAATGTAGCATGTTGACTAAAATGAGCAAAGTGCACTAAAACTCTTCCTTAATTGAGCTGTTGTACTGTTCTGCTTTTTCCACACATAACTGTTCTTTAGCCATTTGTAGTGTAATCATCATTATTAACGGCAAAAAACCCTGATGTTAGTTCTAGAAATTTGGAACCAAAACCTTTAAATTGAAAGCTTTATGTGGGGTATTGCAAGACCCAGTATTCTCACAGTGAACACATTTCTTGTGGGAAAATAAATGCTTTGATTTTACTGTTCACGTGCAGAAAAATAATTACACTGACTGGATTTGTCCACTACATGGAAAATAAACTGATTTACAGAGTATTGTCTCAGTGCATAGCATCAAGGGTATTGTTTTAAAATCTAGTAAGTTTTGTTTGCATTTATATTAAATGTACTCTGGCAGCGGTGACTGCATTTCGGAATGATTAAAAATATCTTTATCACCAGATCTTGCTTTTATAGCAGCAGAAGTATATCTATGCAATAAGCACCTCTTTTGCTTACTTTGTGTCAAACTTTTTCTTTATAATCATTCATTTAAAAACTAATATTATTTATAGTTTTATTTGGTTCATTTTAGTTCTTTAAATATTTTCCTCAGGGTTGTACAAACTATGTAGCATTAATTCATAAGCACAACTGCTCTTGGTGATGTCACATACATCTATAACATAGGTTATATATAGACATTTATCCTTCAAAATATTTTTGAATTTCACTACTTCTTAAAGTAATTTGCAATTTAAAACTCTAAAGCAAAAATATTTATAAAGCTGAGATTTTGTCCATGTTTAACTTCTTTAGGAAAAGACTTTTTTTTTTTATTAAGGTAGCATCTAACAATTT